CCATTAAAATGAATTGTATTTTACTCAAAATTTCATGGAAAAAATCCCTTAATCTTATGATCTTGAAATCATCTGTTTGTTTAGTAAATAATTTTTTTAAACAATTAGTCCCTTTGATAAATTTCGATAATGCAATGAGAAGATGAAGGTCATGCGGGTTATGTAATAAATTTGCTTAATATATTTCGAACAATCTGATCACATATAATTGTTAAGACCTTTTTATATGTAAACTAATAGGTCAGCTAGACAGATTTAAGGTAAGCCGTAATAAATAAAAATAAAGTACACAAAAACTGCATTTAATTTTAATTCTTCTTTATTAATGCTCATCAACAAGATGTATTTATCATGAATTCGTAATCAACTTTAGTTTGAATTTATAAATCTGCCTTTTTTAGATTTAGACAGGCCTCTAGATTATTAAAGTTACACATATTCAGTAAACCTTAATTATTGTATTATTATAATTCTATAAACAGTACTAATTTATTTTCCTAAAAGATCGAATTTGACCTTAAGATTTGTGTTTTTCAGTTTATTCGAAGTAGTTTGAAAATACCTATGATTGTACATAATGATTCATTTTTTTAATTCAATAGCAGCCACTGTATTCCGTCGGAATTCATGAAAAGCAAACTGCTATCAATCATAGTCAGTTTTTAATAGATATACGATATTTTGTAGACAGTTTTGGCTATTCATAAAAGCTTTCAACCTACTCTATTAAAAAGTGTCAATCTCAGCAAATCGACTACTATGCTTTATCTCTGATGATCTACCAGAAGACTATTTAAGGATTGATTTCTGCTAAAAGAAGTCAATGAATAAATAAGGAATATATCCTACTGAAAAAATAATACATGATAACAACGTTGATTAATGCATTACTGAAAGGGATCCGCATCAACGGATTAAAATGAACGTATCAATACTTGTTCATATAATCTAATTTCATATTGCGTATGTATCGTAACATGTAACCTTTTACATACCTAATGATTACGACACATCAAACTTGATAAAATTTACATTTATTTACAAATTCTCAGTCAAAATAAAATGTATAAAATTTGTTTATCAAATAACAACTAAGTAATTGTAATTGAGATTATTTAACAACCTCTAATTTCACATAAAAGTTCATCGTATCGGATTTTAATTTATTGGGTGATAAGAATTAAAACTAAAAAGGATTTTATTTCAAGAAAATCTGAACAACTGAATTGGTTTGTCGACTATAGATTGAGGAAAATTTGATATTAGTCGAATACTTATTTGAAATAAGAGTGTCTCATAGTCAGTAATACTTACATCTTGTTACATAGTCTAAATATGATTGCTTGACTATCATTTATATGATAGACGATGATATTACTTGGGTTCCTATAGCGAAATAGATGACTTAGGCTTTAACCATGTTATTTATTGTTTAAAAAACTAGAATCGTGTTAATTAAGCCATCGTTTAACTAACTGATCTTGAACAAATTGATGATTATATCAGTTCTTAAGACCAGAGACATATGGTATTCACAAATATAAGAACACTTGTATTGGTGGAGATTTGTAGCTCAGGTGAATGATTTTGATGGAGTTTTGTTCTCAGAACTAGATGGTTTGATCGTAAAGCTTTCGTCGTTCTTCTGAGCGACATCATCGGCACAAACTTCATCAAGAACACTTATGCAACTTAACTGAATTTCACAATTACTGATTGTTTAGACAAAAAGTTATACTTACTAGATTTAGATTATTTTCTTTATAACTTACTTTAAGCTAAATATTTTTTTAGTAAATTGAATATTTTATTATAAATAACATGATTTATGACATTATGATTAGTCATTTAATTGAAATTGTAATTTATATATTTAACTTTTAAAAAAAATATACAACAGTAGGTAATGCAAAATTTACCTGAATCTATGTTTTTTGTAAAACGATTTTCGTTTTATTCATTATAAAAAAGAAGAAGAAGAAAAAGGGGTAACATCAATATGCTATTAGACTATAGTTATTCATTAACTGTTTACAGTTGAAAATGCTTTACATATTGTTATCATTATTGTTAATAATAATAATGATTGACATTACTGAAAGCCATTTGAAAATATTAAATTTACAGTTAACTTCTAACAATAGAAATGTAGACATGAAAATTTTCCGAATAAATTCTTTTAATTAATTATCATAACAAAACATTGATTCATTTGATAATTTAATACTTAAATTAGTATTAATAAAATATTAAATGAATATTTTAATTAACTTAAAAGATTTTAACAAGTTATTAAGTATAAAATGAGCGGCGAGTATAAAATAAGTTTTTCCATATCGTTGTAATATAGTTTGAAACTATACTACAATGAATATTCTTAGGATGCTAAAACATATTTCAATAATTATTAATTGCTTTAGAATGAGTTTATGATAAGTCAGGCCGGAAAGAAATAATTGTTAGGATTACATACTTCCCACGCCTGTTATTCCTCGTGGAGAAGCATGCGCCGCCCATCAGCACTCTTCATCCAACCATGTTCCGGGAAATCCTTTCCACTTCTTTCCATATTTTTGTACATCCTTTTCATATCTGCTTTTATTTCACGACGTAATGTGTTCCTTGGCCATCATTTTTCCTGTTTCCATTCAGGATTCCACATGCAGTTTGATAATTTCCGTAATGTATGTCCTGTCCACTTCCAACATCTTTTCGTAATTTCCTCTGCATCTAGAAGCTGGTTCGTTCTCTCATACAGTAGGATGTTGCTGATGGCATCCGAACAACGGACATTATTCCGACCTATGTCAAGTGGTATCTCCTCATTTCTGTAGCTATTTAACTAAACCTTCCGGTTTTCCACATTATGCAGACACGCCATGTGCTTATATTATTATACTATTGTTGCTCTGGCTGTTAGAAAAATTATCGGCCTCGTGAATTCCGAAGAATATTGACTTTTGCCATGAGGCGTCGTAATTCTTCTGAATAATGATCCTTCAACTCAGAGGGCAAAGTTGAAATGGATTGATTTGTTTATTCTGGTTAGCGTTTTTTTAACAAGGTTGTTTTCTATGTGATTTGGTTGTTGACCCCACGCCCAACCCTCCTTTTTTACTCGGGTTTCGGACCGGCAGTTACCCTAGAAGAGCTACAGACGGATAGAAATGCAAAATTCGTAGCATATTGATATATTCTTCAAAGCAAGCCAACAGCAGATGAACTAATAATGATATCCTTTATTTTATTGACAGTTTTTAGATCTTTTGTTAGTAGGAATCAACAGTTTCAGATGCCATTAAAACACAAGATTAAAATAATTCTCAACAATAATTGCTAATATCTTATAAAGTCAGGCCAGTTTCAACTAACTTGTGGGAGACATCAAAAATATTTTGGGCGATTCATTTCAAATTCGCTTAATTTTTTCTGCATTAGGTTTTGAAAACCGGTGCAAAAGAAATGGAATTTCTTTGCTTTGGGAAATCAGCGTTTCAACATTTTTCTTTGACATTCATCTCGTATTCATTTTCTCAATGATTACTTGAAGCTATCGAATAAATGCGTGTACCTAGCGTAGTATTATTAATTTTCAGTTGTCATCACTTTCAAGTAATAATATTGATTACAGTTTAAGAAGCGTAGTGGTGCACTGAAACTAATAAAATATTCTACCTAACGAAAACCAACAACAGATAGTAGTCATTATATTAAACCTTACTGTGAAACATAAATCTTGTTTCCTGGTTAACCAAGAATAAGTTCTGATAAACAGTACAGTTCGTACTGTAATTCAAAACATTACATGTTAAAAACGCAATTTTACAAGCTTTGAAATAAAATAATTAACGCAGTCGTCATTGACAAAGACAAATCATTCAATAAACAAGTCTTTGTCATCTTTATATTAATCAGTTTCAGCATGATGTGCAAAGGAAAAACTAATATGTCAGACAAAGAAAACTCATCGAATATGCCTTGAAAACTTTTACTGCGTCTTGAGCAAAATTTTGGTTTCGTGAAAGATTATTTTCTGGTGTTTTCAACTGGTCTTCCTTTATTTGATTTATTTACATCAGATGTAATTAATTTTTAGTTGCTTAATATCTCAATGTTCATCTTCAATGCCACACCCATTTTGCTGAATCGCTTGCCTCTCTTACAGCTTGAACTATTGTTGTACAGATAATTTTGTAAAGTTCATCACAATAAATAACCTTTTTCTAACTCCTTTGCTGAAATATCCTCTATTGAGCAAACCCCTGCCTAATAATAATTAACGAAAGAACACCTGCTTAGTTCTAGTTAATAAAATATGTAAATATCAAAATTAGTAAATATGAAATCATTGGATAATCATCACTTCATATAGGGCAGTAGTGCATAAAGGATCAATAAACATAAAATGAATGTTTTAAAAGAGATGTAAAAAACTTACGGGAAGAAAGGTAAATCTTCAAACTACTTCACTGTCGTGCTAAGAATGACACAATTCCTAATAAATATTTAACAATCTGTTTTATCAATATTTATTATTTGGTTGCATTAAACCTCTTCTCATACAAATATATTGTAATAAGACTTCAACAAGAGTAATTACTTTTAAATAGAGTGGTACTATTAAAATAATTCATTGCTCATCATAAGTAATTATCGTTGTACGTAGTAAGAAATACAGTAAAAATTAAAAGTAAATTAAGTATAAATCAACCGTTAAATATAATCCATATCAGTTCACATATAGACGTTCTTACTACATTATTTCTTCTCTGTTCAAAAAAATGTACACAAATACCAAGCTTCATAAATACATCACGTTCTATCAGTTAAAGTTGACAAATATTTATCAGTGTAGTTTTATCAACGCTGGTAACAATGAAAGTACCAGAATGCACACGTAAAGGGTATAGAATAATATAAACGAATATATATATATATATATATATATATATATATATATATATATATATATATATATATATATATATATATATATATATAGAGAGAGAGAGAGAGAGAGAGAGAGAGAGAACCAAAAACATAACAGTTCTTCAAGAAAGAAAAAGAAAATTCATTTATTTACATATCACTTACATGTAGATGAATATAATTAGAGAACAGTGAAGAAACAAATTTAAAGTAATGTACAGTGTTTACAATTTTATAGTTAAGTTGAAAAAGGTGTACTCATTTACGTACACAAACGTGAGAAGGTAGCTTAAAATTGGTTAACTGCTAAGCAATTACCACGGCGATGCTGAAATGACATTAGCAAGAATTCTGAAGAATAAATTTATTTCATCACACCATTAATAGAAAGTTTATAATGATTAAATTGTAAGATTCGACGTTCCGCTATGATAACACGATAGAACAAAACGAAATTCATTGTTGTAAATACTGTGAAACTCGAAAGTAGAATCCAACTAACAACAACTGGTAACTTGTGCCTGTTAATGATTCCCCATCCAAATAACGACAGTGTAAGACATATACGAAAGATGATAAATGTAACTATTTAGAAAGGGAATAATAAAAAGAAAGGGGGATTCTTATTCAAACATAAACAATTTGATTTATTACATGTTATAACATTCCAAGTGGAGTAATTTCACGAAATCCACTGAATGGTCATACACATTCTAAGTTGATCTATATCATATTGATAAGTACATAAGTCATCAAAAGTGTATTCAGCAAATTGCAGTTAAAAGAGAGAAAAATATGTCATTTATTTGGCAAAACTTACATGTCACCTTTGTAAGTAAAAGATATAATCACATTTGCAAGTGATATTCAAAAGTAGGGGATAGTCAGGAATATAAAACTATAAAATAACAAAACGGATGACAAAAGTTAATTTTAGATCTCTTCACTGTTTCCTATCAAGCTCATAAGCAGGTAGGCAGCTATTACGATTGATTGTTTGCTAGTAATATGTTATTTCAATAGAGCTTCAAATAAATCAGGTGAAAAAATGTAAATTTTGCAAACTGAAATTACTAACGGTTTTACTGTATAGGTTAGCTAATGATAAACAAGTGAACAAGTCAAGTTTACAAAATATATCAAAATTTTTAAAAAAAGGATCGCTAATTTTACTCCAATTATCTGTTATTTTCTTGATTGTTGCTTTCTTACATCTCTATTTGCTAATTTTTTAAAAATAAATACAAGTCTATTTATTCACTAAAATAAGAGCATAATTTTATGATAGTTGAACGGAATTCTCAGTGTAATATATCATGAGGGATACTTTTTGCGTAAAAAGCAACAATATTGGTGGAACAATGCGTTTAACTAGGTTTCAAAAGTTATGCATTAACAGTTTAGTTCAACCTCTTAGAACAGATCGAAAAAAAGAAAGTGGCATTTATTCATGAAGTAACTATTTTAGAGAGTAAATGGATGCTTTATTTGTAATTATGATTGAAATGAAAAGATGAACTGCCTAACAAATAGTATTTTTCACAGCAATAAGAGCCACTTAAAGGGTACTAGATATCACGAAAAATTCCCATTCTTCAGTATGAAATGTATTTTTTTAATTTTCAGAAATATTTTCACTTAAAAAGTGAAAAATTTGCTTATATGATTAATAGTCAACAGTAACAGAACTAATGAGTATAAATACTCGTTGACTACTTTCGAAAGCTAAAACGTACGTAAACTGAGTTATTAAACCTCGTTATTTAATTTATTGATTCTATACCAAGTCTTGATTACTCGAGTTTAACTCATTTTAATTAATTAAATATCAATTTGTTGTATATGGTATAGCTTATAAACTTGGGACATATACAGCATTGGATTTGTTGACATGTTAATATTTATAAGCCACACATGTGGTTGTAATTTTGACTGTGTGTGACCACGAATATTGTTCGTTTTCATTATAAATATATGTTAAATTTGAAATATATATTTATGTTGGGAACGATTTCTGACAAATACTACGAGAATGATATCAAGAAATTAATCTATAAGAAAGATTACAACCCATGATGTCTTTGAATTAAATTGAATACACGTACAAGAATACAAATCGATAGGATTTCTCGGCTTGACTAGTTTGGAACACACCAATTATTTGAGGTACTATAGTGAGATGTAGGTTGGTTAGATAGTGGCAAGAACAAAAGTGGCAAGTTCAAAATCCGAGGGCTAAGCTGTCCTTCTAGAAACAATAAGTTGTAATGATGGAAAAATGTTTATTACAGTTAACTAGCACTTATAGTGACCGAGTCTTCTTACCAAAAAAAATGATCAAGGACGACTTTTCTATGCATGCACCACAACTTCATTAGCTTAATTAACAAGTTAAAATATATACTGAAGTAAAATAATTCAGTAACATGTTTAGGTAACCACGGAAAATGCTATTTATTTGTAGTTAATTCAAGGATTATAAGTGTTACTTAAAAATAAAACCACTTACGCATTAGAAATAACTTTACAGATATGTCCAATATCTTTGGTGGATAGTGTTTCAAGCAGTTGATGCTTTGAATCGCTAACCACTTATTTAGCTCCATTAGGTATACAGAAACAAAACAGATAGCATGATAGGTTAAAATGTGACAAGCGCAAATAGAATGGTGCAACAGTAGTGTGCAAACATCTCAGTGGTAAAACAATTTTCTGGTTTCCAAAAGATATCTACTGACTTAAACTGATAAAACTGGGTATTTTTAGATAGCTAAATCTAGTTTATTTATCAGTACATCAGATAAGCAAATGAATATCCGTGAACTACATCTTAGTATTTACAACAAAGTGGGTAGTTTGTGAATTATTTCCAACTCACTAGTTCGAGAAGGTTAAAAAGTTATAATTTGTAGGCTTTAAAAAATCCTACAAGTGTATAAGTTTTTACGAATTATATGTACGTGTAGCGGTAAATAAATCCCCAAACTAAATAGCTCTGTAGGTTTTCGACATTGGATGCTGACCATATGTTTTAGTGGACTCATCTAGCTGAAGGCGCTCGGTCATGCATCCGCACCAGATCACGTGTGGTAACGCTGTGCTCAACATCTACCGCAATCGCTAGCCAAATTAGATCAGATAATTCTGATATATTGGTTATCGCCAAATACACTCTTCGGATTTCCTCGAATCTGTCTTTTGATTTCTCTCGGTGGGAACAAAGTATATTAGAAGGTGTTACTGGTAGAAGTGTTGTCAAACACTGAATACCTGTATCATCCTCATTGGTGAGCCCGACGTGATCTGGTACACCTAATTGTAACTGTGAGTCTGTTCCTTTTTTGGGATTTTTATATATCATTACCTTATTTTTAAACATTGTGATTTTTTTCTCGTGTTTTTTCTTGGATATAAATATATTTTCCCCTCGTTCATTATCGTACTTCATATTTCATCATGACTGAACAGACACCCAAAGTACTCAAGCTTAAGACTTTGTCCCCGCCTTCGTTTCAACTCATGCCTTTCTGGCCCGACAATATCGAAGCCTGGTTCTGCTACGCAGAAGCTGACTTCTCCGAGCACGGCGTGATCGACACACGTGCACAATTCCTCGCAGTAGTCAAGCCACTACCACGCAAATTCAACAGGTACGTAACACCTAGTATGTTTACTAGTGATGTTTCCGAACCTTACGAAATCCTAAAACGTTCGATTTTTAAACGAGGAGACCTAACCAATCGACAAAGGTTAGATCAACTCTTTAATAACATCGACCTGCAACACGGTTCTGCGACGGACATGTTGCAACGAATGAGAGAAGTGATAGGCCTAAGAACTTTCGACGAAGGCCTATTTAAACAACTTTCCTTGTCTAAACTTCCTCAACAGGTGCAAGCGGTTCTGGTCGCGTTTCAGAACAACGCTTTGGACGAGCTAGCTGCATCTGCCGATCGTATTTTAGAAATAACGAAATCGTCTACTACAGAGGTATTTTCAGTCAAAGAAAAGCCTCACACGACTCAGAATGACATAACCGAGTTATGTCATACACTCACGCGTTATCTTAATCTTCGTAACGACCGTAATCGCTCACACAGCCCACGTAGAAGCATTTCACGTAAACGATCTGTCTCTAGACCACGAGAGACGGATAACCCGGACTGGTGCTGGTATCATAACCAGTATGGAAAGTCTTCCAGAAATTGCAGAAAACCCTGCAATTTTCCCGACACGAAACCGACTGACTAGAAAAAAAAATCGGGAAACTTCCAAGCCGGCACGCCTTAACGGCAACCGTAGCCGGCGAACATAGCCGTCTGTTATACGTCACAGATGTGACAACGAGAGTTCGCTACCTCGTCGACACTGGCGCAGAAGTTAACGTTCTCCCAGCAAATCATAACGACCGTCTCCTCGAATCAACTCTAAACTTACAGGCGGCAAACGGAAAACTTATCGCTACGTATCGCAAAAGGTACGTTTACCTGAACGTGGTTTTACGCAAACAGATTCACTGGCTTTTCGTTGTTGCAGATGTTTCTATGCCAATCATTGGTATGGATCTTCTACAACACCATAATCTGATCATCGATACGCGCGAACGGAGGTTAGTAGACGGAAACACTAATTTATCCGTTTGCGTAACTTCTATTTCTGGTTGTAGATTATCCCCAGTCACAGTTAAGCATATGATAGACCCACTCTATCAACCACTACTCGATAAGTATTCTGGGATTCATCAAATGCAATCGAAATTACCGTGTGTAACAAGCACCGTTACACATCACATGATGACTACAGGACCACCTGTATTCTCTAAAGCACAACGACTAGCTCCTGAAAAGCTGAGGTTAGCGAAAAACGAATTCGATCACATGATAGACTTAGGAATCATACGACCGTCAAACAGTCCTTATGCATCTCCGTTGCGCATGGTCCCTAAGAAGGACAGCAACGATTGGCGTCCAACCGGCGATTGAATGCAAAAACCATTCCAAATCGTTACCCGTTGCCTCACATTCACGATTTGACAGCTACCTTGAAAGGTACAACTGTCTTTTCGAAAATCGACTTGGTTAAAGCGTATAACCAAATTCCCATGGCCACTGACGACATACCGAAAACAGCAATCATAACTCTTTTCGGACTCTATGAATTTTTGCGAATGCCTTTCGGTCTAAGAAACGCTGCGCAAACATTCCAAAGATTCATAGACGACGTTTTTTGAAGTCTCAACTTCGTACATCCATATGTTGATGACTGCCTAATCGCAAGTCTGGACAGAGAATCACATCTCAAGCATCTGGATCTCGTTTTCGATCGACTACAAAAACATAGCATTACTGTAAACGTTCAGAAATGCCAATTCGGAACCGACTCATTAAAATTCCTAGGACACACTATAGATGCTCAAGGCATTCGACCCCTTAGGACCAAAGTGACGGCAATTCTGGATTACCCAGAAAAGACCACGATTAAGCAACTACGAACGTTTAACGGCCCTGTAAGTTTCTATAGACGATTTGTACCTAAATGCGTTTTACTTATGAAACCTCTAACCGACCAATTTCGTGGAAATGCGAAATCCATTAATTTGGACGAAAACGCACGAAAAGCATTCTCTACAATTAAGGAACTCATCGCTAAAGCAACAATGCTTGCACACCAGAACACCCGAGCACCCATTAGTATCGCAGTAGACGCATCCGACTCAGAAATCGGAGGAGTCTTACAACAATGGGTTAACAACTCCTGGCAACCTTTGGCATTTTTATCTAGACGGTTGCTAGACACCAAATCGAGGTACAGCACATTCGGTAGGGAACTCCTAGCTATGTATTGTGCTGTACGACATTTTCAACACTACATCGAAGGTCGTGAATTCACTCTTTTCACTGACCATAAACCACTCACATTCTCTCTAAGCTCTACTTCAAACAAGTACTCTCCCCGTGAGTCTCGACAACTGGACTACATTTCGCAGTTTACTTCAGACATTCAACACATCTCTGGAGCAAACAATGTATTGCAGACGCCTTATCTCGCCTAACTTCCTTGGACAGTTTCCAAGGAATCGACCTTCTTAAACTTGCCGAGCTTCAAAAAGACACTGATCTTCAGCACGAGTTATCGTCTACAACCCTTAAACTACGCATCAAACAGATGGGAACAGGTAAGGAAACCTTACTTTGTGATACATCTACAGGTAGGGATCGCCCAAGCGTCCCGAAACATTATCGACGCAATGTCTTCAACACATTGCACAGACTTTCTCATCCAGGTGTTCGTGCAACCATCAAGCTTATAGCAGAACGGTTTTGCTGGCCTGATATGAATAAAGACGTGAGGGAGTGGGCACGCTCCTGTGTAAGCTGCCAAAACTCTAAGGTCATCAGACACAATAAATGTCCCTTAGGCTCATTTAAAACTCCCGACGCTCGTTTCGACCATGTTCATCTGGATTTGGTAGGACCTTTACCAGATTCAAATGGATACTCTTACCTCTTAACCTGTGTAGACCGTTTCACTCGATGACCAGAAGCAGTACCTATCAAGGACATCAATGCTGAAACAGTGGCCCGCACCTTCGTCGAACGATGAGTAGCAAACTTTGGTTGCCCTTCAACCATCACTACAGACCGCAGACGTCAGTTTGAGTCTGAACTTTTCCGTCGTCTGACCACACTATTAGGAATCACTCGCTTCTGAACGACCGCCTACCACCCACAAGCAAGAGGGTTGGTAGAACGTTTCACCGACAACTAAAAGCTTCACTATCAGCTGAAAACGTTTCACAGTGGACCAACGCTCTTCCACTCGTCTTACTAGGTATCCGCAATGCAGTGAAAGCTGACATTGGATACACTGCAGCTCAACTCGTTTATGGAACGACACTTCGACTTCCAAGAGAATTCGTGGATCCTTCATCCTCTTCAATGAACATGGATCTAACCTCCTACACGAACAGGCTTACAAACGCAATGCGTTCAGTTAAACCTGCTTCCACACGACCACAATCCACCGATGTTTTCGTTTAACCTGACTTACAATATAGTACACACGTTTTCGTTCGTCGAGACGCACATCGAAGACCATTCGAATCAGCATACGAAGGACCTTTCAAAGTTCTTCAACGCGAATCTAAGTACTATATAGTCGATAAGAACGGAACAAACGATAGCATCAGCATCGATCGCTTAAAAGCAGCGTATTTAGAAGGAAATCCTATTGACGTCGACTTCCCTTCGGTACAATCACACAACACGACTCCTACACTCATAATTCCTCAACCAACAACCAACACTAGCGATGACACTCCGAATGTGTCAGAAAATAAACTTAAAACGACACGTTCTGGAAGAAGAGTGAGATTTCCAGAAAATTTAAACGACAATTTCACGTAAAGCACTACTCGACATTTTATATTATCTTGATCTTTCTTTTTATGATAAATATTAATTTTTTTTAAAAAAACAATTTTAATATGCTCATATATTTATATTTTTATCTAAAAAATTTTTAATGCTATTACGTGTGCTTGAGTGTATTTTCCTTTTTTTCGCGGACATAGCGTTTTTACGCACATACGAGTGTATTTCGACATGCACTTACATTTTCTTTTCCAGGACGACTGGAAAAGAACGATGCAGTTTACGAGGAGCCGAAATCTTTATTTTACTTTTTCTTTTTTAATATGTTGTACCCCGGTCCTATATAGTAAGGAAAGACGACCAGACACTGCTAAACTTAGTAAGCTATCAGAAGAGTGTTTACCAACGACAGACTCGTTGGGTTTAAACTTCTGGCTGGCCACGTCTTAGGGTCATCACTGCCCCACTAGGGGGGAGTGATCTGTAGCGGTAAATAAATCCCCAAACTAAATAGCTCTGTAAGTTTTCGACATTGGATGCTGACCATATGTTTTAGTGGACTCATCTAGCTGAAGGCGCTCGGTCATGCATCCGCACCAGATCACGTGTGGTAACGCTGTGCTCAACATCTACCGCAATCGCTAGCCAAATTAGATCAGATAATTCTGATATATTGGTTATCGCCAAATACACTCTTCGGATTTCCTCGAATCTGTCTTTTGATTTCTCTCGGTGGGAACAAAGTATATTAGAAGGTGTTACTGGTAGAAGTGTTGTCAAACACTGAATACCTGTATCATCATCATCATACGTAAAACTAAGTATCATGACAAATGATTCCGAAAACAAACCCATACAAAGATCACGAGATATTGGCAATCGATTTGTCAATCCTTATGACGACTGATAAGTGTCACTAAGATGCGCCAAAAACAGTAGGTATGCTAATCATTTCTCTAAAAGCACATTTTATAAGTACAGGTTTTCCCATCAGGACGAAATATACACTAAAGAACCTTCTAGTATTTGGAATGCTAGGGTCATACTGAGATAACCAGATAACAATGAAAACTATAAAAGGAAACGCGATGACTTACTGATATTTGCAATAGCATTAAGGCGGTATGTTACTGATTCAGGGTCGATGTTAAGCAATATCATTAACTTTCTTGCGTGAAGAAATATGCTGTTTAGCTCCATCAAAAGCCCAAACAATGCGTAACAAACAAGAATCCTATACCAAGATACAACGTAAAAGCATGTTAAAACCTAAGTTAAAAAGCTGATGAAAACTTAAGAGCAAAAGGCTACTGTAATGTGATGCAATATTATCTCCAACGATCTTAGTCCAACACCGCCACATATATTATGGTAAATGTCGTGAATAAAGTAACCTGGTAAAATATAGTTATGATGAATCTAGTATACCTGTCGCGAAACCCATAATATGATAAGCGAATGCGTTCTCTGAATCGATGACATTACCAACTAAGTCAGGATAAGAAATAAGGCTGAAGTAAATATTTTTTCAACCAAAACTCACCAAATAAGAGAACTTAGTCCGGATATAAAAGCGTGGATTATGGAGATGGAATAATTTCTTAGTCTTATGAACAAGTAAGTGTTCCTCGCAGTTTTATTGCTTGATTGACATGTTTGAAGAGCATAGTCAATCATGTAAAACAGTAGAAATGCAGATACAGAAGTAGCGTGACTATTACTAAGGTCTATATCGGCGTTTAAAACGCGATCATACAAAGTCATATTTCTTAATCCGCTGCTCTTCAAGTGTCCTTTGTTGACTCACTTAAACAAGATCATAATGTAATAAGTAATATTTCATTTGAACCCAAGATGTCACGGAAGCACTGATCTACCGAAAAAAATGCACAAGAATAGTTTAAATAACCTAAGGTTTTTTGATCTGATAATTATTAATATTGCCCATTCAGCACTTCATGACAGAGACTAACACAATCTTTTCAAAATCTGTCAAAACTTCACTAGAGTAATAAAGGCAATATACCATAAAATGTATTGATTACGTCCTACACCATACAGAAGACAATCATTTTCAAAATAGGCTTGTTTTTAATTATCAACTAGTTGGATTATTAAATGACTTTAGATATATCATATTGTGGCTCACGTCATCAAATTGAGCAAATATTCTTAAAGCTTGTGAATTTGTTATTAATCTTATGCAATATGTCACTGTCGGTACAATTGTTTCCCGACACTCGTAGAATAATAAATATGGTGTCTTAGATTTTTAGACGAAAGCTGTTTGCACGCCTATATGTGCATGAAAAGACAGCAAATCCTAAAATTCACACTCATTTTAGTTCAGCAAGAAACGAAACCATGAAATTGAAAATTTAAAACACCTCAACAGTTCGGTTCACACTGTACAGTTAAAAATTATCTTCTGAAATCATTGGACCATACGCCAAGGAAGTAATAAGTACTGAAGAATCAAATAGAATCTACTAGATAATAAACTGGTAGTTGTGAAGATTTGTGTTTATTGAAGTTCGAAGTGGTGTCAGGGTTTGCATTTGCACTTCCTTCAGGTCTATCATGGAAATCCAACTATTAGTTTCTCTGTATCCTCCTTCGCCTACATCAAGTACATGAAAAGCTTCTATGACTTATGCCACCATAATATATCTTGGCTATTATCGAACTGTGGTTAAATGAAGTCTCAGGTAATCTCTGTTGATGGTTAGTCTACTTGAGATAAATTGTGACGAGGTCCGCTCCCACAGTCGTGATACCCAAGTTATGAAGCTAACTTAATAACGGCATAAAATAAATAAAACATAATAAAAGTAATGTATTATAGAGAATGACAATAGAAGTAGATGATGCAAACAAGGCTGTATGAGGTTGACGTTCAGGAAATTATGAGAAATTTATTAAATATTGCTTATAGTATGGCCAGTATTTTGTACATAATACCATATATATTTGGAGATTTAGATAAAGACCGTCTTGTTTAATAAAGTAATATTTACAAATAGTTGTTGAATGTCGTGAAGGCCATCTTAAGTTCGAGAGATGGTTATTTCATTTAATATCAAATTACCTTATGCATTTTCATGGCACATTCGGTTTAAAACACATGAGAGTTCAGATGGTGGCGTTTAAACAGCATGCAAGCACTTGCGTAATCCTAGCTGTCGCAGACAAAATATGTTTCCCTATTTATTATTTGTTAAACTTTATAATCTCATTTCTTTAATTCGTACCATATGGAATCCAGTAAATAGTTCTGCATGTCATTCACGTTGATACTGACCTCCTTAGTTTTGCTGGACACATGCTAGTTAGAAACGCTCCATCACACACCAGGACCAAATCACTATTGTATCCACCGAGCCTTGCATCTATAGCAACAACTAGCTAGGTTAGACCAAGATATTGATAGCTTTCCAAATATATCATGGAATCTCTTCAATTATAACTTCTGATTTGGCTGGGTTGGTATACTTTGATTAGTTTGGTTTTACGTATAGAGACGTTGTCAGACTTCGAATGCCTGTAGCAGTTTCTAATAATATAGTTTTAAGAGTGGAGTAAATTGGATAAGACAGAATGGATTATCGCACAGTACGATATATAACAAACGTCACCCGGCAGTGTAAAATCTTGCAACATCACATCAGGAATGATTGTGTGAGAATAAAAAAATGTGCAGAAAAATATGTGCATTTATAGTCATTATCGCTGGCTGTAACATCATTATCAATCAAGCACCTAGTAAGGAGTCAAGTGATGCTACGTTCAATCGTTGCGCGCCATGGATCTGGTCGAACAGAAAATCTTCGCCTCCTTTAGATCCCCTGGGTCTCCATCATTCTTCTTGCAAGCCATCGCAATAATGATGTCAATCATCATTTTCTTTTATCACGAACTTTTTGTTTTTCAGCCCTTTGAGAATCTCTTACGGTTGCTTTGTTTGTGTAATGATTGATTTATGTACCTTCCATTTTCAGTTCTCATTTCATTGGAGAGCAAGACCCATCGCTATGAAATCGTAAGACGTGTGAGAGATTTAGGATAAATTATTCAACTAATCAACAACATTCTCCTAATATACATAATCCTATATAGATAACCAGATTTTGTTTGTATCAAGTACTGCGAATGATATCCTTCACTTTTTGTTGCGAGATTTGGATTATGCTATATGATGCTGTGAACATATTTTTAATGACATAAACGTTGATGAGCAATCTCTATGTTGTTGCCAGACTTCGTCCCTCAACTCTTCAGTAAGCTTTTTGTCCTAAAATCAATTATAGTTCTAATTTATTTTGACATTACTCTTTACACCTGACCATTTCAAATGGTTCAAATTGTTGTGGACGGAATAGAAGAAGCTTTCTCCAGGTAGAAACCTAGACATATTGACGATTATAGAGAAAAAATGGCAGATGATAATAAAATATTGTATCTATTTCTTAAGAATAGGTCACGTTTTCTCTTAAAGGACTCCTGAGAAGTCACTCTTACTAGCTCAGCCAGCAGCCAATTACAGATTTTGACAACTCTTAAAGAGTGAAAGTTGTATTCATAGTTCATCCTGAGTTGCTGTGTCTCTAGTTTCTGAGTGTTACCTCTTAAGTTTGTGTTGAGGCTAAACTTAAGTAGTTGTTAGAGGGAATATCCAGAAAATTCAAGGATACTGTTAGCCATTAAAAGATCGCCTATGAGATGCCTATAATCTAATGAGTAAAGGTTTAGTGATCGTAAGAACTCCCCATAAGGCTTAAATTTGAGTCCCCGAAGTGATTTCGTGGCTCGCCTTTGGATATGCTCCAGAGTGTCCTTATCCCTTTGAAGTGAGAGAGAAAATGTTATGTTTCTGTATTCTAAATGGGGACGAATAAAATTGCTAAAATTTAAATGATGATAAAAACAATGAACTACCTTGCAAGTAAATTTCTAACGAATAAAACATGGCAAAGACAAGGCATTTCGCATTATGATTGCCAAAAGTGTTGTTGAACTCATTGAACTTGCTTTATATATATTTACACTCTTATCATTCTTGATTTCACTATGATAATCACCGGAACGTTTGTGTTAAGATTATTTGCTTTTGTTAAGAAATAAATTTGCTGAATTTTAGTCACTTTGAACATGTTGTACAGCAAATACATATATTTTATTTTCAATGAAAACAGTCATTATTGACACGTACTTTCAGTTATAAAAGTATTAAAAACGATACTGTACTAGCTAATAATTGACACAAAAAGCTATATTATTTACCTCTAGTTGATGTTTCAGAGCTCATTATTGTGAATATAACTCGACAGATGCGATACAATGATAGGAACCTGAACTCGGCATGTGTTATGAATATTCAATTAGGTTGCCTTTGATAGATCATTTAGTTGACGTTTGTGCCACGTATTCAGCATCATAACCAAGTTTTAATAAAATCGCACTAGTAGACAACGGTGTATGTTTCTTAATTTTCATCAATTTCATGGTTTGAAAGCTTCTATAGTATTTGGAGTCGCTAAGCCCATCAGGCATTATTGAACTACCTAGGTTGCGAAAGATTTAACATTTAAATATGAATATCTGCTCATTAATGCAAGGAATCAGTTTATTTCACTTGGTTGTTGGCGATATACCTTCAATTACCTGATCAAAAGCTGCTTAAAATAAGCGTGAAAGCCAAGTTTGACAGACAGCTGAGTTTCGACTCAACAAAACTAATCAGAAAATCTATGTTTTACTTTGAACGGCTGAGAGTCGAAGTAATTTCAAGACATATATGTCAGTAGAATAGTTGAGAAAAGTTTCATAATTATTCATGGAATTTTGGCTTGAAAGACAGAATGATGTCAATATTTAACGATGATGTTTGGGGTAACATTACAGTAAAACCATGCAACTTGAGAACTAAAGTATTTTGGTTACGATGTTACTACAAAGTAAGCAAGCCTACTGTCTTAAAGAGTATGTCACATATTTTCCATTCAGTAGTTAACATGCGCATCCTTTTTAAGAAATCACCACTGTTTAGTTCTTGCCATAATTAATCAGCGTACCATTATTTTGACTTCATTTGATATTCACTTTTGCACGACAGTATGGTATGGAACTGAGGACTAACGTACAATTTGAAGGCTGAAATGTATATGAAAAGCAACGAAATTAAAATTGATCCGAAATATCTTGACTTTGTTGCACCCAAAGAGACATATCGGACGAACTTGCACTTACATTTACCAGATTTGTATGGCATAACGCTTTCCATCGAGTGAATCAATTGGCCATAATCTATTTACATAATACCTAAATTGTTGCAAATAGTTGGCAGTATCTACTAAATGTTAATTAGTCTAATACGGATATTTTGTTAAAATGCAGTGCATCTTATAATAAAAGAGTCAAAGTTTAAGAATTTGACCTGTAGCGTTCAAGCCACACACACTATTACGTCGTATTTGTCAGCCATAATTTTTGAAGGACCATCAATTTTACGTGAATTGGCGTTTGGAAGTTAGGTGCTTTTTAAACTTGATAGACGGACCAATCACGTGTAGTATTTTTAATCTTTATTTTGACTATTTGCCAAAAACATTTTTATATTTGATGTGTTAACAATTGATAGTTAATATATAGCAGTAGTTTTACTCATAGTGTAAAATAGATAACTTTCAGATTGACCTATTCCAGTACCAGTGATCGTTACCAGACGTTGATGATATTTCGTGACAAATATGTATCATAGTAATATTTATCCTGATCATCAAATTTTCATTTGTATCAGTATGTTATA